AGCCGGAACGCACGCTCAGACAGAGGGATGCACAAAGAGACAGAACAGAAGAGAGAAAGAGAGAGGGACAGAGAGAACACCATTGATGGATTATAAGTTCACAACAGCGGTCGCCTTAATCTGGGCCATCTACGCGAGAGAACCAGATACAGTTTTAAACCACACTGAAAGCATGACCTCACAGACTGGGCCGCAGCTTTTAGAGCCTAACAAGTGGAACAGGACATGAACAATTTGTACTTTCTCTACGCTTTGGATCAATAGGTATTAGTTTGGTCTAAAATATTTAGGAGAAAGTGCACCAAAGGATTTAGAAGAGCAATATTTACAGAACCTGGCTTTTCCCTCTAGTACAACGCAAACACACGCTAAGCGCAGAGCAGAAAAGAGAGAGACATGGAGGGTTTGCTGACCTGGATAGCAGTTTGCGAGCGGGGCGTGGTATAAATAGCTTGGTGGAGAGTTTTGCTTGGCTGAAATTGTTCTCTCCTCATTAATCATTCATGTAGGTGTGCCGGTGCTTTGGGCAAAACGCTGGAATCAAGATCCAGGATGGAAAAGCCAGTCCGGAAAGAAGACACCTAGCCCCAGCTTTTTCATTTGGACAAGATAAACAGTTTTAGGCAGAACTGACCTATCCATCCTCCACCGACAAAAGCATTAGTTCATAGCAACTGTTGTGATGTTGACCAGTCTTCACAGAATATTGTACATTTATCTATATTGACAAAAATACAATTTCTCATTAGGTTGAATTGGATTTTTCAATTTCAATTTCAAATAACATTTGTTTTGTATGCATGTGAAAGATCATGTTAGAGTAGTTTAGACGTAATGCATGTAGTTCAGCATGTAATTTAGAGCGTTATTAATTTCATATAAGATGTACTTCAGTTGTAGATCAGATGTCCTTTAGGTATAGATCAGATGTGCATTTTGATATATAATCAAGTTAGCATGTTGGCAAATTCATCTTTGTCATTTTCAATCTGGTTAGTTTCAATCAGCTACAGGAACATCATTCATCTTATTAGTGAAGCATTTTAATTCTTTTTCATAGTAGCCAAAAAATAAAAAGGTAATTTACACATTTTGGAGGTACCAAAGATTTTACACCATGCATTTTTTTTCTTTGATAATGTTGATGAATTATCTATTAATAAAAGTTTGTAAGACTTTAAAACTGGAAGCAAATTGACTTTTCATCTTCGCTAGTGAGAAAGCAAGTCAGCACTTATAAAAGTGTTTTTACTGTGTTTAAATGCTGCAGTTTTGTGCTGTCTGTTTTATCTTGGCATGGCCGTCTCTGTAGAAAACTGTGGAGTATTATTTTTCCAGCAGGGGGTTCTCAGCCCTTCCTTTTAACCCATCATTGCTCGCTAGCAGCTCAACACTTTCACACAGTATCCAACAGTGTCCTTATTAACCCCTTAAAATCCCAGGCGTGTTACATAATAAGGTTTATTAACTACAGGGACTCCAATGCAGACAGGCTATTCGTAGGTTGTAGAAGTGTGTAATATAACTTTGCGTCCACCAGCTACAGTCTATGGTAAGGTAGTCTAGTTTACTGCTAAAGGAGCAGACATCAGTATGTAATAAGTTAATGAGTAACAGGGAAAAGACAGTAGAAGGAAAAGTCGGCCTAGACTAGACTAGACACAAGTGCCATGAGAAATTGGGACGTAAAACAACTTTTAGCACCATTTGGCTTACATGCACTCGATTTATCTCATTAAGGTAAGAAAGCAATATTGACGTCTGTCTATAGTTTGCTCAATAAAAAAATATTTCAGATGTAATTCAGTTACACATGGTTCTTAAAAATGAAAGCACATCCCAGAATAATGCGTTTTTAATCTGCAAAAATAGGTTTATTTAAGCAACGAAAATGGTTTATTTGTAAAAAATATTTTTAAATACACTTTATTGTGATATATACTGAAACTGCCAGAGATTTTAATTCTGCTATGATATAAATATTTGTCAGTTTAGTAGCAATTCTATGGCTTAATATTGGAATCCCTCTCTCCAAAGGTAACTTTCATCCAATTTAATCAAGCGGGGTTTAGAGGGGTCAGAAAATTGTGCCATGGAATTTAGACTGAATTTGATTCTAGATATGCAGGTTTAGTGCATCATAAGCTAAAAGGCCCATCCAAATGGCATTCTTAACGGATAACTCTCACACGGAATGAGATGTTCCAAAAACCAACGGACTATAAAGCTGCTTCCACCTCCGTTTAACATTGGGCTTCCCATCTACCCAAGCCAAGTGCTTTTCAATAGCGTGATGCTATCAGCGGCAGTGCTAATCCACCTAGGCTGAGCCAGTCAGGACCTGCTCGTGTAACCCGGCCCAGGCAGAGAGAGAAAAGAACAGATAAAGAGAGAGTCACACACTCAGGTAGAAAATGAGCGTACAAGGACAACAGAGACACACAGGTTAGGACGGACGCAAAGAGGGACAGACAGAAGCTCACAAACAAACGCAAAGCGGGCAGCCGCGGGGCAGGGGGGCAGCTTCGGTGGGGAGGGGTGGGGTGTAGGGGTGCTTTTTGCTGGTGTTAGGGCAGTGGGCAGGAAGGGGGTGAGGTTTGGGGTCAGCGTTACTTACACACAGCGTGGTGCGAGAGCGCCAGGGCGGCGGCTGGGTCTCCAGCCTGCTCCAGGCGCAGCGACTGCTCTAACAGAGCGTCCGCCTCAGCCAGGCAGCGCTCAAAACTGCCCCCCTTCCCTGCAATTAACACATTAAGGCCAGGCCACTGAAAACACATACACACTCACACACACTGCCCATGGCAGGCCGACGAGCTCCCGGTACACACATAAACCTTACCAGGATGAAGAACTATCACTTTATGTGGACAACAACATATGCAAGTTATTACCAGAACAGACGTGATCAAGTACTTGCACAAAGACAGAAAGACTGCAATGATACTGACTTATGTTTGTTTATAAGCGTTTTCAGACACATTGATACCCATAATCACAGGAACTTTATTAAAATAATTTAAGGAATAGTTCAGTCAAAAATGCTGAAGTTGCTAACAATTAATCGAAGCAAATGGCTACCAATTGCTAATTTTCAAAATTATGATTAACACAGCCGATCTCTCAGCCAATTACAATCGTCTCTAAACAAAGCTTCCTCTGTCAAGTGAAGAGAAAGCTCTGACAAAATTCATCCGAACAAACTTTCAGAGAGAACAACGGCAGCTGTAGGTTAGAATTATTAGATTACACTATTCTAACATAATTATTATTTATTGATCATTACTCTTAGTAATTATTAATTACTTATTACTATTTATTACTACTGGAACTATTTATTACTACTACTGTACCACTAGAATTACTAGATTAAACTATTACATTATACTAAGAAGTGGCAAAAAAAGCATTGCTGAGGAACTTATAATGCCTGACACATGTTGTCATCTGGTCATGAGAGGAGGATGGCACTGTTTTATCTAATTCCAGGACCTGAAAAGGTTTTGGTTTAATACGTGTGGAAAACTCACAGCTCAAAGCTTTTAACAGGTATATTTACAAGGTAAGCTAAACTTTAAACTTTAGCAAATAACTGAACTGACTGACTTAGCAAATAACTTAACTGATGTTTAATGCTAGAATTTAATATGATGTCTAAAGTTACAGAAACATGTTAGGATAGGTTAGCTAACTATTTAGCTTGTATAACTTAGCTGCTGACGGTCAGCTTAATAAATCTGTCAGATTAAACAGGACTAAATAATAATACACTCATACACACACCACTGTTTGTATTATTTCACTAAAAGACCTTGTGTAAAAGATGACCAGTTTTCCTCAGCACTTAACATTTAGCTTTGGCATTAGCTCACATGAAGAAGAAGCTACCATCGCTAACATCTATTTATCGTTAGACATGAAATCCTATCATTTCAACAACGACTGGCAAAAAAAAATTCTTGGTTTGATTAATGTAAACTTGGTTTCCAGAATCCTTTTCTACACTTTAAATTAGCCGACATTCATATTATATCAGTTCTCAAACGTTTGTCTGCACTGAACATCTTGTAAAGCCAGATTAAGTTTGAATGAAAAATATTTTAGATGTAAAAATGTATATTTTTGAACTACTGAACTTTTAGTCTGTTAGCACAAGTGATGCGGTTGCTGCCAGATAGCCTGTGTTGAAAGTTTGACGGACGTAGCAACAGTAACTAAGAGAGACAAAACTTTCTTAAAATTTTGCAAATGGTTATTGAGCTAACTGGTGCCTACTACTTTGGATTCATTGTTAGCCATATTAGCATGTTTGGTCAATCTATTCCTTTAACAGCTATCCGATTACTGTATTAAAATAATTGCTTTGTCTCTTGATGATCTTTTCGTCCTCTCCAATTAGAGGACCAATCATGCAAAACACATAGAGGAGCATTTGCAGCAAGCCCATATACATTTCTGTAACATGAGTCAATTCAGGTCTGCAGCAGGCAACCTGGCCCCCTGCTGCTCTCCTTGTCTTTTATTTACTCTCGCTCCCTTCTCTTTCTATGTCTCTCTTAGTCTCTCTTTTCCTCCCAGTAGGTGCACTGTCCCTCCAGAGAGCACTAAAGACAGTCTAACCCAGTTACCAAAACTATGGGAGCGGGAGGAAATAGGAAAAAAAAAAACATCCAAATGCTTCTGACATTCATCTAGTCTTTAATTTGTCTGTCCAGACAGGCAGGTCCAGACGTTCCCTTCTCACTTTCGTAACTAGAGTGCCTAGTTTTGCGCTGCTGTGTAATCATTTGCATTATAAGTTAGTACAGTACAGTATATTGAAGGAATATAGTTGTATACAGTAGGGATGACAATATACTTGATCTTGAATAATAAGCTTACGGTCTAAAAAATGGAAATTAAATTAAATCTAGGTCTGACTCATCTATTTGAAAGTGAGATCTCTTTCCTGGCTTCAGTCACTCCCTCATTCCATGTCTCTATAGGACATGTGTGGTATTTACCCTGGTGCTGAAGTTCATCCAGGTCCATGAATTTGCTGGGTTTGGGGTTGAAGCCCATGGCTGCCTCTCTCTCCTTCTCCTTCTTCCTCTGGAGCTCCTGCTGCCTCGCTCTGCGAGCCACCTCCTCCTGCAGCTCGTCCAGCTCACTGCGGCCCTCTCCTGCACACATGCACGTACATACAAATGAACACACTGCAGGACAAGAGTTTGGAAGTAACACTAACTTCATAAACAATTTTGTTTTCGAGAGATAAAGCAGAGTATTATAGTCGGCTTGTGTGATGGGGCAATGTAATCAGATATTGGCAATGACAGCGATGACAGTTAAGCTAAACACAATGCTTCAAAGTTGATTATAGATGTGTTGGGAAGGAGAGTTCAATTACATTTAATTCACTTTTGTATTTACTTTTACTGTTAAAACAATGGATCATCATGATGCATTATTGGATACAACCAATTTCCCACTGTCTAAGCATTTTGCGTACAGCTTAAGGGTCTCGATAGTCTGAAAAGAGTCAAATTATAAAAATATAATAATTAATAGCGCATCTACAGTTGAATTCCAGAGTGCATCCACTATAATGATGGAAAACACCTCATTTTTAGATGTAAACCACATAGACAGGAACTCTCTCCCTCACTCGTGCACATGTAGCAGCTCCTTCAAAGTTCCTTTGCATGGGGGAGCTATTACTATGCATGTTGCTTACTACTTTCAGAATGAGAGGTGAAATTAATATTATAAACTACCAAAATGTGTTGAGTTACTAAATATTATCCGTGGTACAATATGTGGTTTGCATTAAAGATTGTCATTACATCAGTCAATGCTGGAAAGTGTACAGCACTGCAAGCCAAAGGAATATTTAGCAAAATGCATTTACTTAAAGAATGTAAGCAAACATTGTGTGCTGTATTACCTGTTGGCAAATGACATAATTATAAAATGTTTTTTAAATTTTAAAAAATAGCTGCTTGTTTCCACATTTGTGGTCAAAAATGTGCATATTCTACATTTCAGCTTGAGAAGGTAGTGCAAGCTGGTAGTTGCTGAAACTCACCCAGGCTGGTGGGGATTCTGCTCCATGTAGGGGATCGTAGGTCCTGCAGGATGGCACTACTGCTCTTCGACTTTGGCACTGTGCGCCATGACGGCCCTGAAGTCAGGGCCCTCTTACCGCTAGCCTCCCTGAGGATAGAATGAGAAGGTGGTCAGGGTCAGAATATTAATATTGCAGGATAAAAACACTACATTTAACACTTTTAGTGCATGTAAATACACACTCATAGAGTTTCTATACATTCAGAAGCACTGCAGTCAAAAGTTTGGGGTATAGGAATGTTGTAAATACAAATGAGATAAGTATGTATTGGTTTGCAGTACAAACACAGTAAAGACTAAGAAGGTTAATATAGGTTCAAGGTGAAGGTTCAAGGTTATCTATATAGGTGTCCCCAGTTGTCAAACAGACAGGACGTTTTGGCTCGGTAGGAATTTCATTAAATAATTGTTTTCATTTTTTTTCTGCACAGTATGAACAGCACACAATAAATAGAAGAATACAAACTCCCCAATTATAGCAGCTGGAAGAGAGAGAACCTAGCAGAGACAGAGAGAGCTGTGAACTACAACCAGATCCAAGACACCTGATAATTATCTGTGAATTTTTCTGGTTATTCATGAATGTGAGGGGTGTGAATTGCAGTGGTTAAACAGCAGCTAGAGTCAGCTCACTGGTATTAAAAGCAGATCTAGGAACATTTGAATCTCAGTGGATACCATGCACTTGAAAGCACCATTTTTGTCCTATTAAAGAGGATATATTCTATAGTTTTCTTGCTTTTTATTTCCTGTAGTTGCACTGATTACATTTATGTAGTTTTATGTACCAAAAACAGCCATAATTCATTTTTACAAAACCATCAAAATTAAGGCTGTTTTGGTTGAGGTGACTTTAAAACCAACATATGAAAATGATCTCTGTTACGACTGACGTCCCTGTATTGTGCATAACATAGGGCTGTTATGTGGAAGAGGAATGGGTTGGAGAAAAAAAACAAAGTTATATAATTTTCTGTTTGCTAACAAACACTAGAAGTAAATAGACTTCTGACTCCTTTGACTCGTCTCCTCTGCATGAACTTCACGCAGGCATATGCTCGCCACAAATTACACCCACAATTATTGTTGTATCTTTATATAAAAAACTTAATTTTGAAGTTTCAACCTGAAGATATATGTTTAAAAATAGATACAACAGAAATCATTAATGTAATATAGAGTCTATGTGTCCACATGACATGCGTAAACATGAATGGGAAGACAGATTCTGGGGAAGTCAGAATTCAGTACAACACTGCTGTCTAAAATGGCAGTTTGCTGGGTTTAGCTACTCAGTAAACTTTTGTTCATTTTATAGTTCACAATAAGTCATACAAATAAGCAAAATTTGGACAATAAACATGTCTTGGCTGATCGACTACATTTGGGGAAAGTGGAAAATTGAGTGAATTAAATTTTTTGCCAAACCATTCCTTTAAGTTTGGAATTAAATCCTTCATCATGGTTATGACATCACAACCAAGGCTGTTTTTCAACACAGGCTGTTTTTTGGCTTAATTTCTATGGTACGTTTTAAAACAATGTTTGCATAAAATACTTATTTTAAAGATTCATTCCATTCATTTTTTATTTCAAAACCGTTTTACCACGATATGACCCCATTAACCTAAAGGTAAGCAGTAATGAGCAGGGTGGTGGTACCTGGGTGCACTGGTGCTGGGGTTGTCATTGAGAGGCATGTCCATACTGATGGGACTGTTGCTGTTCCTCTCGCTGCTCTCATAGCCGCTCTCCATCCTCTGAATCAGCCGCGGCTGCTGCTCCGCACCTCTCAGAGCAGGCGGGGCAGCCAGACGCCCCACTCCCAGATTAGACCCATCCCCTGCCCCATCTGTCCCGTTCCCCGCCTGCCCTGCTGTGGGATCCTCTGCTGCTGGCCCTGACACAGCTTCTCCGTGAATCTGTGCTGCTGCGTCCTCTGGCAGCGGGGAGGCACCCAAAGAGCTGTAGCCTCCTGGCCGCTGCCTGTCCCGGCTGAAGATGCTGTCGATGTTCAGGGCTTCTCTCCTGGGCCTCCAAGATGGCCGGTAGCGCCCCCCACTGGAGCTGGACTTTGACTCGCTGCTGGTGCTCTCATCCTCCCAGTCTCTGGCCCGTGCTCCAGCCTCAGACCCCCCCACCCCCGAGCTAGAGGAGGAGGAGAGCGGGCGGCTGTGGATCATGATGCTCACTGTCTCCTTATAGTCCTGTAGCCGTCCTGTGGAAGAGGGCCTCGGTGTGGACATAGGTGTGGACTGCTCTTTCAGGACCTCACCTAAACAAAGAGCGTTAGCATATTTTTATTTTTTTCCTTTTTCTTGTAGATACTCAGAAACACTATTTTCAGTGATATAAAAACAATTGTGTTGCAGATACATGCATACAATTATTCTAATTAAGGATTAAAATAATTATGTGTGATTGTGTTCTTTTGTGTAGTTAATTGCAATTAATTTTAGTTGTCTTATTTGCTCAAATCTGACTCTGAAGAAAGATTTTTCCTGTTAAAACCAGAGCATTTTGTCATAGTTATATGAGTGGACAAAATAAGCTTCATCAGAATGCATTTATTACTTTCAATAATTTAATAACATTATTTTTATCATGAGAATGTTGGATTCACATGAACGGAACACTCACATGAATGGAAAATGAACATTAAAATAAGGTAAATTTAGTTTCCAATCTTCTTCTCTGACAATTAGCATAAGCAGACATAGCAGCCTCTTGTTCTCACACCATAACATTGAGCCTTGTTTCAAGGGGAAGTGGAGTCTTCCACTTTGCTGATGCTCTTGTTAGTTTTTCTCCCATAAGCACTGTCCAGTGTAGCCTGCTGAATTGCTAATATTGATGATTTTGCCACATCAGCAGTGTATTTTGCTTGTAAATGATACTTCAGACTTGATGTTCTGTGGTGATAAATCGAATGGTGATCACCACGGCAGTAGCTGGAAATAACTTTGGTTTTATTAAGAGAGCCGTAATGGAACTTGCCATTTAAAAGCTGTATTTGAAGAGAGGACTACAGCTGCAGAGTCATAACAAGCCATCCATGCCATCAGCTGGGCTTAGTGTTGTTAGTAATTACTGGCGTTAATAATTTGTTCAGTTAAAGTGTTATTAACATGTGACTTTTGACACTAGTAATTCTAATATGATACTAATAAGTCATAGGATTCAAGAACCTTAAACAATGATGACATTTTAGATGTGTCCAGAATTAGATACAAAACTGCAGATGATTCTAAACTGACTGGGAAAGCTGTATAACATCAAGAATGAAATTAACAGTCAGAATTCCACATATTTGAAAAGTGGTAATGTGATCAAATCCCGAGACAGATAACTCGACAAAAATAACTATAATATTATTTAATAACTTCTTACTGTTCCAAAAGAACTTGCAATATTAAATAACATCTAAAATACCACTTGATATTTAGCTTGTGTGTGTGTGGGGGGTGTGTGGGGGGGGGGCTCATAGCGGTACCTGCAGAGTCCATGCTGTTCTGAGAGCCGCTGCTGTCCTGATTACACACCACGGTTCCCTGAGAGTCGGAGGAGAAGTGGGAGGCCATAGACTCATGGTGCGAGCGTGAGTGCTTGTAACTGTAACTGTCTGTGGAAGAATCTGTGCGTGTGTCACTGGAGATAGACGGCTCCCTCCCTGAAGACACAGCAACCACAATGACATTCAGCCACGGACACAGTCACATTGAGACTGACAGAGTTTAAAACAGCTGTTTCAGAAAATTCCTTCTCTATTTTTATACTCCAGCACTATTCAGGCTGGGTTAGTTTTATCTAGGGATGTTCTACAATTTTTGATCACAAATGAGATATGTAATTTAAATCCAATGCAAATCTGCAATGTCTGCAGTTTTATAAGCCTTACAAGTAAGAACTCTGGAGTGAATGACCTTCTGTAATTGGCTGAACCAGGAGATCTCTCATTAATAAGAATTCTTAAGGCCTTTACACACTGAGCAGGATTTATTTGTGCAGTCTATTTTCATGTCAATAAATTAATTTGAACGTGTATAACTGATGATATCTTGCACCGTCTGTTCGATTTGCAGATTTTCGCAGGCAACATGAACTCACTCAAAGAGTTGCCGTTGTTCCTGGTGTTGGCATGGCAACAACCAAGATGTGTTTCTGGAACTATGACTTTTTGACAAACTTTGTCACACATGTTGTTCATCTACAAAAGCAGCTCAATTGAGCTAGACATCCAAGCTGTTCACAAAAAGTACTCAAAGTCTCAGCTCCCAAAAAAGGGGAGAAACTCTTTGGTCTATTTCTACCACTTTTCCAAATGGGAAAGCAGTCTAGTTAAAGAAGCAAATAAGTTTTTTTTTTTTATTTCTCATTGCATAAACAACAGGGTGAAATAAAAAAAAAACTGTTTTGATGCAGAAAAATCCAAATTGATAATGCATTTTTGCATCAATTGCTTCACGTTTGGCAAGTAACAGCCTTTAAAATTGGTCTTGTGGTAATGTACTAACAAAACCTGCTAGAAACAGCTTCCATATAGTTATTGTTATTGACTGTGGTGCCTGTTGAATAACGCTGACAGGCACTACTGTCACATTCAGACTACCTTTTACTTCAAGCTATCTGTGGGAATTTAAGGAAATTTAACCCTTCATGCTCCACTCACAAATGTGGTTTTTCTTAGCATTCATTGTGAGGATGAACAAGCTTTACAAAACCTTTGCAAAAATCCCAGTTCTTTAGTTTGAATATAATTTTTCCCAATGCTCTGTAAAGCATGTCCAACAGATAAAAGCATTCCATTATAAACCAGGCAGCCAAACCCCTAAAAATTAAAAATAAAACAGATCTCTTCTTTGTCTTTCTCATGTTTATCTCATTCACTCAGTTCCCCTCTTTTTCCAGTGCGCACCCCCCACAATCTTTCTCATACCAGAGTCTTCACTGTCGTAGCCTGCCTTGCTGCAATGGTGCAGGTCCAGCTGAGCTGAGGGCACATCCTGTGATGACACAGGTGTCCCCCGGGGGTCAGCATAGAGTAGCAGCAGCGGCTGGTAGTGGCCCTTAATACAGCGTGACACCACGTCCTTCCACTTGGGTCCAATCTGTCAAGAGTAAACAGACACACACAGCATTGAAAACACATCAATTACCTTCTCTTTAGTGAAGAGCGGGACTACCGCAGAAGAATAAATGCCGCTTAATCCGCAGTGTCTGCCGTCACCTCTTTGACGTGTGCGTCATCGAAGTACATCCACTTGCGTATCTTGGTTTGGAAGAAGAAGGTGGAGTAGTGTTTGCCGTAGTAACACACCATGCCCACCAGGTAGAGCTCTGATTGCTTGGCCCGGTCGTCTGTCACTCTGTAGAACAGCTGGGGGGCGGGAAATGCGAGAGAGGTTTGGCAGTAAGAGCCAATCGAATAGTCCATGACATAAGCGGACAGTTTACCACTAAGACGTATGGAGCCGCCCACACTGTACTGCAGTGAGAGACTAAATCATCAGGGAATATACTGACTCATCAGCACTGGTGGAGGGCGTCCTGACTTATACGATCACAGTGACAGTTTAATGAATACACTCCACATAGCAATACATCCATAAAAGTCACATGACTGAGGCTGAATGTTTATAAAATGTAATCTTCCAAGCAGGGTCCTTGTAGAGCACACATGAACGCTAGTGCAGTGGCAAGGTCCACTGCAGCAATGAGTATTCTCTAGGACTTTCAGACCCTGTTCATCAAAAGTTTGGGGACATCTTGTCTTCTTTTGAAATTTTCTCATTGATACCTTTCAGTTAACTAAGAAAAATACCAGTCAACATGAAATAGCTATTTAATTATAGTTTGGGAAATACTCAATATTCATCAAACTACACACTTAAAAAAATGGTAATTGAAGTGGTCTTCAGTAAAGGCAATGATTCTATATAGAACCATCAGATTTACATAGAACCATTTCATGCTTAAATTAACCTTTGCGTGGTGAAATTTTAAGCAGCATATACATGGAATGCACAGTGACAGGACACAGCATAGTGATTTGTCCATTTTTCACTCATATTTTTCAGATAATTTACATCAGGCAGAATAGGTCAATGTTTTATAATGTGGCAAGAGACAGCAATAAACACATAACTGACACATCAAACTGCCGACTTCTCTGCTCTCTCATTTTGGATTAACTTTATGTGACTGAGCTGAGTGGCAACCAATCAGATAGCTGATACATGGTGCTTTAACTGACTGTGTCACACCCATAGTCACATGTGAAAGCACATTGAGCGGGCAATGTAATGGCTGAAAAAAAACTATTGTATTCAAAATGGAAGACATTATTACATTCGAATATTTTGGAATATAAACTTAAAAACAATACTAGGTTGCTTTGGGGTACTAAAATAGCCTACAACTCTATACACTTTTCAGCTGGGCACTTCAAGCTGCTTGAGTTTTAGTGACAAGACCCCTAAGGCAGCCCATAAGTGAAGCAACTCGGCTCGTTATAATGAAAATCCATTATTATATTATATTATACATACATACATACATACATACATACATCATCTAAACCGCTTATCCTTCCGGGTCGCGGTGGGGTGCTGGAGCCTATCCCAGCTGTCATTGGGCGGAAGGCAGGATACACCCTGGACAGGTCGCCAGTCCATCGCAGGGCAGACAGACAGACATACACAGTCACACCTAGGGGCAATTTAGCACGTCCAATTGGCCTGAATGCATGTTTTAGGACTGTGGGAGGAAACCGGAGTACCCGGAGGAAACCCACACAGACACGGGGAGAACATGCAAACTCCACACAGAAATGACCCCGGTTGCCCAGCCAGGAATCGAACCCAGGCCATTCTTGCTGTGAGGCGACAGCGCTACCCACTGCGCCACCGTGCCGCCCATATTATATTATATCATATTATATTATATTATATTATATACATATTTTTTACTATCAAATTATTTTTACAGTTGTTTATTTTTAAAATTGTTTATTTTTTTTACATTTTTATATTAGTAGTTGTAGTTAAACACTCCTGAAATCTGGGAATGCTGCAACTCCCTTAGCACTCAGACTTCCTATGTACCTGCAAAATTTAGTTTTCCTCAAAATAAACCTGATTAGTCTTTAGAGATTCATGCCTGCACTGACTCTAACTAGAACTGTTCTATTTTAGACATTGTTCACACTATACTGAGTTGTTTACATATTCACATAAGCATGTCATCATGATCTTAGGGATCTCTTAGGCAGTGTTTTCTTGCCACTGTCGCCCTCGAGTCTCTAACCTGGATTTCTGTAAGGCTGCTTTGTAACAACACCCATTATGTAAAGTGCTTTACAAACAAATTTCAATTGATTTGAATATACATGTGTTAAGTTACTTAAAACTAACTTTGACAACATGTAAATTTACATTAAGAACCTTTTGAAAAGCTTGGTGTTCCAAAAAACCTTTGATGGATATTGTAGGTAAGAAAATGTCATAGAGGCTCATGATTACTAAGTAGACAAGCTGTTCAGGGAGAACAGAGGATCATGTATATATGTAGATGTGTATGTGTGTCTTACATCCCCCAGACGCAGACAGGTGCCCAGACTATGGATGACGTCCTCGGCCAGGTCCGAGTGGTCTGAGTCCCAAACCAGGCCGATGCTGATGATTTCAGGAGAATTCATCAGAACCCGGCGGATTCGCAACATTTCTCCACAGTTACTCTGAGAAGCACAGAGGAGTCATTCAGTGTGTGTGTGTGTGTGTGTGTTTATGTCAGAACAAAGAAACAGTGAGAAGGTATAGGTTAACTCTGCCAATGTGCATATGTGCTTGAAAGAGCGCAGGAAAGAGAGAAAGAAAGTCTTTAGAAAGGGCTTGTGTGCTCCAGCAATGCCTTATGTTCAGCACCCAATGTTCTCGCAGCTTTCTTTGAGTCATCACCCACCACCGAGCATCTTGGCAATGGCAGTGCGGAAGCAGGAGGAGAAAACCCTGGCGGTCAGTGCCACTGCCAGCCTGACCCCTGCCCACCCCAAACACTGCTTTTGTGCAGTGGAGAGAGAGCATAGGCAGCAGGCTGGCACCAGAACCGAGCAGGAAGGGATTAGACAAAGAGCACTGTTCTCAAAACTCAGCCACAGAGCATCTCTCTCTCTCTCTCTCTCTCTCTCTCTCACACTGTTTCTCTCCTCATAAGAGAGTAACATAGCCTAAAACCATCCTCAGATAAAATATTTGTTTTTTTTCAGTAGGATACTAAATCACATAGAAGTAAAAGTAGCCTAGTTAAAAAGTACCAGGTACCAAAAAAAAAATTCAGTGTAAACTCCAAAAAATGTGCAGTGAAACTTCATAGTACACCTGCAGCATCTATTAGCATACACACTTAAACAAAGGAAAGGTTCAGAAATGGTAGTTGGCTTAGCTGTACAGTTCCAGGAATAGGTTTAATTGGTACAGAGACTGCTATCTTTATACTCCCACTTATTCATTTTACATTGTAAGAGAGGCGATTCCTCTCTTTTTAGGACCTGTTGAGTTTAAAATGAAATAATAAAGCTCAAAAGTAAAACAAGGAGCAATAGCAAAGCGGTCCAGGTGCTGAACACCAACTGGAAAGAATGAAATCAAGCACTAAAAAAGTGCTTTATTAGTAACTAGTAGTGTGAATGTGGGACTAATGAGACTAGGTACAAAGTAAAATACCTTTCAAGCATACTTAAGTATATTTAAGTAAAAGTATTATCCATTGAAAATAGACTATAGCACTGCAGACAAGTCAGAGACCACCTTCATTTTTTAAAATTTCAGTCAAAATGGCCATGAAGTACAAGTTATTCATTTCCTCTGGAGATATTTATGTGTGATTAGCTATGAAATAATCCACTTGCATAAAGACGAGTAAGTCTAAGGAAAATAACTAAAAAAACTTGAAAGTTAAAAAGTATATATATTAAGATATAAGATAATGGAGGAAATGGGACTCCTAACAATCATGCGGGACCTAGTAGAAACGTCTTCTCACAGTACGACGAACAGAAAAACGTGGGTTTTTTCTAATGCAAAGCAAGAGTGGAGTTTGATTTTCTCCCCTTTCTCAAAGATGAAATCTTTAAGTGACAGGAGAAAATCAAGCTCCACTCCTGCTTTACAACAGAAAAAAACCCCAAAGGTGTTTCTGTCCATCCTTCTACTGTGAGAAGACAACTCAATACTATGATTCTGAAAGGATGTGTAGCTGTCAAGAAGCTGTTACTAAGAAAATGAAACAGAAAGGCAGAAAAAATTGCAAATCAAACAAAGAAGCTGCTGGTGTTCTCAGAACAATGGACTCATTACCTCAGCGTTCAGACGTCAGCATCATTGAATGTTTTTGGGATTACTTGGATTGTGTAAAGCAGAAAATGCAAGCAACTCCTAATACAGAACTTTAGAGGTGTGGAATAAGATCCACTCTTTGAAAACTGAAAGTAAGTCTCCCAAAAACATTTGATATTATGTTTAATTGTTTGAGGCTTCTGTGTGGCTCTCTGTTAAATGTCCAGTGCCAAAAAATGTGTTACTTGTTCTTAATGGCCATTTCAAGGGACAAACATCCAGTGTTTCATTACCCAGCAGCCTTGACGTGAGTTCCTGAGTTCTGTCATGCAGAGTGCCAGCGATCCACAGAAACAGAGCTCAACTCTGGCTCAGGCTTCTCCTCAGCACTGCTATAGAGCTCTGCTCGTTTTCATTTCAGTTACACAGGGGATCAATTCAGGACACCAGTTCCAGCAGTTACACAAGTAATTATCACTGAAACTGAACTGAATTTCATCTCAGGATCTATACTAATCCAGCAGAGATTGGCTGTGAGTGAAATTGTAGAATAACACTGACAGCAGAAAAGTGCCCTTTTTTTCATGCTGTGTTTGTCTGAAGCTAGCAGCATCATGTGGAGCAGAGAGCAGCGTGGACAATGGGCTGGTCAGCAGGACTGGGCAGTTTCCACAGCCAGCTACTTCTCTGAACACAAGCAAAAAGGAGCCTTTGTGCCTCCAGTAAGAGGTGTGAAGGGTGAAGTAATTGCTTGTATAAGAGATTGTGTGTGTGTGTGTGTGTGTGTGTGTGTATGTGTACGCGCATGCTCACCGGGCAGTTGCGCAGGTCTCCCATAGTGCTGGCATTGCGGAGAAGCTCCCCGAACATGTCCGGTGTGGGCTTCTCCCTGCACTCCAGCATCCGCACAGCCTGGTTACTGCAGCAGAGGAACAGAGACACACACGTGTCCTCAAGTACCAGCAGCACTAATGAACACACTCCTAAGCACATCATACTTTTTTCACTCCTGCACACACCCTTCAAAAGTTGTAAAGAGTTGCAAAAGTTTGGGCACCCCTGGCCAAACAACATATACTATATGGACAAAAGTATTGGGACACCTACACATTACACCTACAAAAGCTTTTATTACATCCCATTCTAAATCCATAGGCATTAATATGGAGTTGCTCCCCACTTTGCAGCTATAACAGCTTCCACTTACCTGGGAAGCTTTTCTACAAGATTTTGGAGAGTGTCTGTGAGAATAATTGCCCATTTATCCAGAAGAGCATTCGTGAGGTCAGACACTGATGTTGGACGAGAGAGCCTGGTTCACAATCTCCGTTCTAGTTCATCCCAAAGGTTTTCAGTGGGGTTGAGGTCAAGACTCTGTGCGGGCCAGTCAAGTTCTTGCACACCAAACTCACCCAACCATGCCTTTATGGACCTTGCTTTGTGCACTGGGGCTCAGTCATGCTGGAATAGAAAAGGATCTTCCCCAAACATTCCCCACAAATTTGCAAGACTACAATTGTACCAATTGTCTTGGTGTGTTGAAGCATTAAGATTTCCCTTCACTGGAATTAAGAGGTCTAGCCCTGAAAAACAACCCCATAGCATTATCCTCCTCCACCAAACTTTACAGCTGGCACAATGCAGTCAGGCAGATAAAGTTCTCCTGGCATTCGCAAAATCCAGAATTGTCCATCAGACTGCCAGATCGAGAAGTGTGATTCGTCACTCTACAGAATGTGTATCCACTGCTCCAGAGTCCAGTGGTGGCGTGCTTTACACCTCTCCATCTGACACTTGACATTGTGCTTGGTGATGTAAGGCTTGCATGCAGCTGCTCAGTCATGGAAACCCAAGCCATGAAGCTCCCGGTGCACAGCTTTTGTGCTGATGTTAATGCCAGAGGAGGCTTGGAACTCTGCAGTTACTGAGTCTACAGAGCATCGGCGAGTTTTATGCACTCTGCAACCCCGCTCTGTAACTTCATCTGGTCTGTCATTTCGTGGCCGAATTGCTGTGGTTTCTAAAAGCTTCCACTTTTCAATAATACTGCTCACAGGTGATCGTGGAATATCTAGGAGGGAAGAATTTTTGCGAACTGACTTGTGGCAACGGTGGCATCCTATTACAGTACCATGCTTGAGTTCAGTGAGCTCATTAGAATGACTGATTATTTCACAAATCTGTGTAAAGGCAGACCGCATGGACAGGTGCTTGATTTTATACACCTGTGGCAATGGGACTAAACGAAACACCTGAATTCAGTGATTAAGAGGTGTGTCCCAATACTTTTGTCCATATAGTGTATTTTGTTGATTTCTGAAGTGAAAAGAAGAAAACACAACCTCTGAAGCAAATTATTTTTTTAAAATACCATTTTTGTGCAAATGTTTGTGCACAATTATCAAAGTGTATTCGATAAAAAAAAAAGTTCGAAAGTTTGGAAACCCTGCTAACTCAGACCTTCGTCAGATATAAAAATGCTTAAAAATGCTTTTTGTGGCCCACTAGGAGTCTTTCTGTTCTTGTTTGAGGAAATTTCACCTTTTCTTCTTAGCAGAAAGCTTGGAGTTCTGCAACACTCTTGGGCCATCTTGCAAACACAACAATTTTAAGATCTATCTACCCCTAGATTTACAAAGATGTTCAAGTAAAGAGACTGAGATTACCAGTCCAAAAGCTTCAGCAAAATAAATCAGGGTAGCATGGTCTTTATGTGACAGTGACATGTCTGTATTAATAACTCTAGACATTATAAGGGTTCTCATGAGCATAATTAATAATATTAATACTTAATTATTAGTGTATGAGAATACAGTGAAGGAATACTCGTTTTCACAAGTCATTTCAACCTTTTATAGCTTTTATTGATCACAGCACAGCTGTGTTCTCCAGTGATAGGACAGCACCAATTACTACTGAATAAATCTTCCTGATCATATTGTCAGAGCAGGAATGCCCACTGAGGAGAACTGAATAAAGTCGGTTTAAACGGATCTAATAAATGTGTCAGACTTAACTTCATGTCTGTATAAAGTGCTTGTTCTCAGCAGATTAGTATTCCCTGAAAGGCATGAGAGGCCATGCTTCATCTATAATCCATCTCCACATTACCTGCAGTAGGATGGGAGCCGCAGGCCTTCGCTGAAACCACTGCTTTTTAGTGGCTAATGTTTCTCTAAGCATTGCAAGATAGCATTTCTCAACAATTTAGAAGCATATCTCCAGTACTGGCCCGGCTGTCAGCATGTCCTGATGAGTGGGGGAAATGTGCCGAGACAGGCCCCTAAGGGCTCAACAACATCTGCACACACACACACATACATACAGATGAATGTTCATGCTGGCTCCAGTCACTCAGACAGGTCAAACACTGCTGTCTCTGTCCTAAATTACCTATTGTGATGGTACTCACAGGAGAATTACCAATTAACCCTGAAAATGAGAGAATACACTGATACACTGGCCTTCTGTTGAGTAAAAAGTCCTAATCAGTCATAATATATGCCAACACTGAAATCTTCAGTCAATAGGTCCACTAAAAATAAATTGTCATGGAAACATTTACTGAAACAAGGACACCCTGTGTCCGTGATGTGAAGCACTACTCCTATGAAGTAACAAATGCTAGACTGCTAACAGCACCCCTTTGTGTTTTGCGTCTAAAAAATTAACCACGGAGGTTCTTTGGCATACAGAACACAATGTATGTTGAAACTCAACAAGTTAACTGTGTTGTCTTTAAGTAAACTTGATTACCGTCAGTTTTGCCTAAATCATAGGACCTTTGACATGAGGGATTTTTAATAATTAACCAATTAAACATTAGCCAACAAATACATTAATGTTTGACCAATGCTTTCATGTTAAAAAGTTCAGCTAAATAATTGATATTTGAAGAGACGTAAACATGAGGGCGCAGGAATGCAATTGGTTCTGGTAGCCCTAATTAATGATGCACAACTCTGGGTTTCCTGAAGTAGACTTTCTGAAGGTTTTCAGAAGTTGATAATGGGATACAGCAAAGATTAAACCATCCTAAATGCAGTTACAGTTTTTAAATAGCTACAGATTACAGAGATATGATTAAAGTCCATGCTTTTCGACTTTCAGAGTCACTACCCAAGAGCCGACCCGACTTACAGATGTGTTGAGTTGAACGCTGACCCTTGCTCATGTAGATATGTTGGTATTTTTCAACAAAAATGATTAGGATTTTTAGCCACATGACACACTGCTAAGGTAGGCTAAAGATGACTCTTGCTGCTTCTGTTGATTGTAGCCTTACAGCACGCAAAGGTGTTTGTTAGCTAATGGTTAGCCTATGCAGTTAGTCTCAGGAAAACGATTAAAAGCTGCGAGCAGGCGACTTAATGTTGACTGTTGCTTAAACTATGCATATAAGGCTCCCGGGTGCCGCAACCGTCTAAGCATTGGTCCTATCATCAGGAGATCACGAGTTTGATCCCTGGTGATGCTACAGCCACCCGTAGTCGGGAGTCCAAGAGAGCACAATTGGCCTTGCTCTCTCTGGGTGAGTAGGATGGCCCCACTTCTCCCCCATCACTCAACGCGATGCTAGTCAGTTAGCTGATGTAACAGATCTGGCAGTTGGTGCTTTCCTCCGAGCGAGTTTGGCTGTCCAATGATGTTGCGTGAGCGGCAGTTTGAAAAGATGCAGTGGTGCTTCACAGGACTCGGAGGAAGCCTGTGTTAGCCTTCACCCTCCAGTATCTAGCGGGTGGAATTGGAGACGACTAAATTGGGGAGAAAATTGGGTAAAAATCAAAAGGATATAAACTTCAATCTGGCCCTGGTCAGGCCGTATGTGTTTGGGCTAATATGTGGTACATGTCAGTAAGTAGATTATGTTATTGTCATAGTAAGTTGTGACTTTATGTGAAATGCTAATGCTAGTTCAAAACAGTATAAAAAACAGCATTTAATGTTTAATGTTTAAACATCATTGTCTTTTTTGTAAATATGCACTCATTTCAAATGTCTGCAACACATTTCAAAAAAGTCTGGGTAAAAGTCTGTTTACCAAAATTTAATAATCGCAGAGACTGAACACAAAAAGAGTTCTGAAAGTCTTATCGCTCCTGTCCCAACTTTTTTGGAATGTGTTGCAGGCATCAGTTTCAAAATGAGCATATTTACAAAAAATAATCAAGTTGATGAGATAAAATGTTCAATGTTCTTGTCATTGTACTGTTTTTGTCCAAATAATGGTCAACGCAGATTTATAAATCACTGCTTGCTGTTTTTATTTACATTTTATTTACTGTCGCAATTTTTTTTGGAATTGGGTTTGTAAAGTGCAGTGCTGTGTTTGATGTTTTCATGAGTCATAATAACGTATCTTATCAGTCAAAAGTATTCGCCAAAATTCACATCTCTACTTGACACTGAATTAAATGGGATTTATTTCTGTTTTACTAAAATAGGACTGAACAGAAATGTGGTATTATTAAATTACATTCATACTACTACTTTTTTTGATATCGTAAGATTTAATGTTGCATGTAATTCATTTCAGATTCAATCTCAAGGAAAATGTTGTCTATCATCAAGTATGGGTGGCATCATTTCAGGTCACCTCCCAATTCCATTCCTATCTGTAACTCCAGATGCTAAAATGGACACACTCTGGAGTGCAAATCTGGGGATTATGAGCATTCACAGGGTGAAACACAGGGGCAATCAGGAATTATTTATGAATCGTGTGATGCAAAATGAAAAATGGCTGATCCATCCTGTTGTCCTCACTGCTCCGCATATGCATTGTAATTTCCTTTAATAGCTCCACCATTTGAGGAGGCAAAAGAGGCAGTTTGTATCTTTCACTGTGTGAAATGTGGTGGCAATTGCAACTGATTTAAGTTCCGTGAGTGAGTGTGACAAATAATGTTCACTGTTTTC